GTGGGAGGCCGTCTGAGGAGAAAATACAAAGCGATAATTTTTTATTATATTTTACTTTGATCTCTGTGATTATCCTTATCGTTATTATAGTCATTATCATTATTATTATCATAATTATCATTATCGTGATTATATCATCAGAAGCATTATATCATTTTCATTATCATAAGGCCTTATTATCATAATTTTTTTTTTATCATAACCATCATGAAGTTATGATATAGAAATCTATATAAATCTTATATTAGATTTCTGCCATAATTAAAGTCGCCGCCACCACCGCAATTTCCTTAGAAAACAGGGACAACATCTCTCCTTCAGGTGAATTCATTATAAAAATATAACGAAATCACAATGAAGGGCTTAAGGATACCAGATATTTAAATTTCCTGCATTTTACTATTTTTATAAATTTACATGAAATATCTTTAACTCATCATTGCAATTCTAATATATATTACAAAGCTTACTGAAAATATATATATTCAAAAATATTCAGCACTGGAAAGTTCTTAGTAATTTGATGGGTATAAATGGCAGACTCTGCTTACCAAAATAACCACAGAAAGTATACAGACCAAGGCTGTCCCGCGGTCAGTCTTCAGTCACGTCCAACGGAAAAGTGCGGCCGAACCGAGGTCAACCCTCACGGTCACTCTACCCGGGTGCATGCCCAACATCAACCGTATTCATGTTGACCAATGTGGAGAGGTGTGAATGAGAACGAATATCTTCACAATACAAGAGATGGATTTTACCGTTTTCGAAAATATCTTCGTCAGAAATACATGTACACGTATTCGTTCTCGTTCATACCTCTCCACACATGCCCATCATCACCTGATCACACGTACGTTGTCCAGTCATCGCGGCACTTTCCACTACGACTATGCCCATGTTATTTTTCCTTTTATTTAACAAATGTGGAAGATTCCTAAACTTCCACAATACTTACTTTCATTTTATATTTGGTCTTAAAATATGGAATGAAAAGTATGTTACCTGATTCATCCCCAACTTGAAGTTCAAAAGCCAAGTTATCCATTGGAATCCACTGCGCTGTCAGAGCTGAAGGATATGGCGAGATCAGGATACTTATAATGAGTAGAAATTATAGGAGTAATAACTATTAGTCATAGTGATACTAATGATATATATGCATATATATCTGCGTGTATATATGTGTACGGATAGATAGAAGTGATTGATTTTTTTGTCTGTGTATTCATGTATCTGTATTTTATGTACGCAAGTTCACACACACACACACACATACATACATACATACATATATATATATATATATATATATATATATATATATATATATATATTATATATATAATATATATACATTTATATACATATATATGATATATATATATATATGTATGTATGATTTATGTAATAGATATATATAAATCTCTCTCTCCTCTCTCTCTCCTCTCTCTCTATCTCTCTCTCTCTAAATATTATATATATATATATATATATATATATATTATATATATATATATGTATATGTATGTATGTATGTAATGTATGTATGTATGAATGTATATATATAACATCAAAAAACAACTTTTAGGAAATTTAACTTACATTCTGAAGTAACAGAGCTTGGCCTCAACGCAGAAATTAGCCTCGAATCACATCCTGACTTCCACTCGACACATCAGAACTCGAACCACCATGTGACGAGAGGACCACACGCCCGCCCGCCCACCACGGACCCTCCGTCACAACAAGATCACAACCACGACCGATCAATGCCTCGCCCTGTGTATTCCTCAGATACCATAAGCTGTAATGATACCAGGGTGTTTTTGGGCCAGACGAGTACCTTTATAAAATTCCCTTTCGCTCATATCTATTCCTTTTATGGACATAACTTTGGAGAGAAATACATTTTCTTAGATTTTATTAGTTGTACTTTATGTTTGATGTTTACATGACTATATCACATTGTTCAGAACATTCGCAGGTTTCTTATCAGTGTGATTATGTTTGCTCACGTTTATCACTCTTCATATGCTAATCTAGGGACGAATAGCTACTGTTACTAATATTGATAATGACAATCGCAGTATCTATGGATAATGGATGGGCAATAATAAGTGGAACAATCATAATGATGATGATGAGAGTAATAATAATTCTGATAATGATGATAATGACAACAGTAATTGACATTCCAGTGATGAAGGTAACTGTAAATCTGATAATGATTTTCACAATAACGAGTAGTAATGATAGTTGTAATACTAATGATAATAGTAATGATAATAAATCTAATAGTGATAGCAATAATGATTCTAATAATAATTACAATAGTGATAATAATTATGATGATGAGAATAATAATGATAACAAGGAGAACAATAATAATAATAATATAATAATAATGATAACATTAATGCTAATAGCAGCAACAACAACAATAATAAAAATAATAAGATTAGTAATCATGTTAATATTATAAAAAACAAATGCCAATAATGAAAATGATAATGATGATGATGAGAATGATAATGGGATGATAATAATAATCAGGATAATGATGATTATAACTAATAATAGATGATGATAATGAATATTAATAGTAAGGATAATGATAATTCTAGGGATTATAATAGTAATGATAATAATAATAATAATAATAATAACAAACAACAATAGCAACAAAAACAACGATAATGATAATAATAACAGTAATAATAATAATGACAATAAGAATAGGAACATTTTTGATAATGATAAAAAATGATAATGACAGTAATGATAAAAATAATGATGAATATAATGACTATGATAATGATAATATGATTATAATGATAATCATAATAGTAATAATAGTCATGGTAGTAATAGATTAATAAAATCATGGTAGTAATATTAAAATGATAATGAAAATAATGATAATATTTATGATTATCATAATAATGATGATAATGATAATGATAATAACAATAATGATAATAATAATGATAACAATAAGAATGATGAAAATGGTGACAATAATAAAAGTTGTAGTGATAATGATAACAATGAAAGTAATAATCGCGGTAATGTTGATGATCATAAAAATGATAATAACAGCAACAATAATAATAATGATGATAACATCAACTACAACAACAATGATAATGACGAGAATTTTGGAGAAAAATAATAATAATAAAAAAAATCAATAATATTATCAATCATAACAATAATAATACCATGTCCATACATACCACACAAAGAACTGTAAATCTGTGGCGTTGAAACTGCAAGTCTTCAGTACAGAGGGAGCTTAGTGTGGAAAATGGTGACAATACAACCAACTCCCTTACTATTACTACAAGTTTAAAAATGTCTTCACTCTGTGCAGTACCAACGGTTTATCTCAACATCTCTTATCAGTATGTAATTTGTGTTATCAATATGGTGCAAGGATGGAATGTTGGTATATCATGATGCATTATTTGGATGTGTGTAATAGATAAATTGATTTCGTGTGTCGTCGGTTACTGTATCTATACATTTTTTAAATTATTTGTAAAGTGGTTACTTTGTGAAATGCATCGATGCATTCCGTGGTAGATATCGTATGTGTTAATATGATGAAAAATTATCTTTGACCGTTTGATTATCATTCTGCCCCCCCCCCCACCTGTCTCTCTCTCCTCTCTCTCTCTCTCTCTCTCCTCTCTCTCTCTCTCTCTCTCTCTCTCTCTCTCTCTCTCTCTCTCTCTCTCTCTCTCTCTCTCTCTCTCTCTCTCTCTCTCCCTATCTATTTTTTTTCTCTCCTCCCTCTCCCTCTCTCTGGTTTTGAAAGTGATAAGATACGGGTTGAAATCAGGAAACACGTACTTCAAAAGTTTGAATGAATAAATAGATTAAATGAATGATAAAGGAAAATGATATACAAGTCTAACGTAAAAATATAAACTTTTTGTCGTTTAGAATTAGACTGGTATAAAATTTATTTTGACATTCTTACCTTCGGATATCCTGTTTATTCTTTATTAACATTATTGTTATGAAGGGAAAGTAAAACAGGAAACTCACCATTTTAATGCGTGATATGATTATCATAAAGCATTTCACCGTAAAGCCTATATGCATGCCCCTATACATACAATGTAATATACATCTATCTATAATTAAAGTCCCAATCTTCAGTCGTTTATATTCAACTACTATTTTGATGATGATAATCTCCCTTTAATTGATTTATTATATGGCATCACTAAATTCCAGAGCATATTTTTCTAAAGCTGTTTACCCTTAACGAAAACATATGACTACAAAGCAGCCATGGAACGCTGTTTGCAGGCCGCTACGACTTCCTGTTGGTGATTTATTACACCTTGGGAACACTTGGGATTCTAATGACTTCTGCCTCTGCCCCATTTACTATTTGGGAGCTCTATTTTCTCCATGCACATTCACATTTCAGAGAGAGCTTCTGAGTGAGCTTTGTGCGTACTTTTATTGGGTGTACATCGGTGCAACTAGGGAGAGAAAAGAGGAACCTGAACTCCTTAATTATGCTAGACAACGACGTATGTTGTGTATCCAGTAATAGACTGGTTTTACTTAGCTACATTATGGTTGATTATATTCCTACTTCCATTTACTATTTGGTATCCAAATATCTCTTCAAGGTTTCTTATATACATGTATATATATGCCCTTACAATTTACTTACCTCCCATACATATAAGTAGCCAAACGGATAATCTGTAGAACATTGGTCAATGAAGTGTACACATACAACTGTTTTTGGCATTGAGAATGATACTTATTTATTTTGTAAGGTAAATCAAAAATACTACGAGTGCGTATGAGGTCAACNTTATCACTATTGATCGTTATCATCATGTGGTCGTTACAATAATAATGATGATTGTTAATATTAATCTTCTTGTTCTTGTTCTTATTTATCACTATTTTCATTATTATTAGTAGTAGTAATTGTGATACTATTGGTATTATCATTATTATTTTCATCATTGTCATTACTTTTATCTTTATTATAACTACCATTCTAATTATCATTATTGCTATCATTATCATGATTATCTTATCATGATCATGGTTATCCTTATCATTATCATTATTTGTCATTACTATTATCCTTATCATGACTATCATTACCATCATTATTACCATAATAATTATCATTATCATTACTATTACTGTTAGTATTATCATCATCAACAGCAGCAGCATTATCATCATCATCAGATACCTTTTTACAGTGTCATTAGTTTTCGTAATATCACTGCATATTCTCATTCTATTTATTAGGTCATGAGGAGCAATCTTAAGAACTTTCCACTTATTGTTTTACCTTGCGAGGCAGATTGCCGGGTCAACTTAATTTTTGCAGACACTCCAATGTCGCCTGGGTTGCCCCTCAAATAATCTAATCACACTGTACTCAAAACTTTCCTTTAACTTCCTAAAGCCTTGTCTCTCTCTCTCTTTCGATTACTGAACATGTCTGTTATTTCAGCTTCTTTTTTGTGGAAATTTCTGGAATTTAATCAGTTATACATAAGATTTTTTTCCTGCCATGAAATTGGGTTTCCTAGTTCATATCCCGTAAACTGTGCACAACTTTCTTCTTTACATTTCTGGCTGATGTTTAAAACATTTTTTACGATGTTTGTGTTATACATTAGGCGCATTTTTTCAGTGAACTGTTTGTGCCACGCAATACTGTTTTATTATTATTATTATTATTATTATTATTATTATTATTATTATTATTATTATTATTATTATTATTATTATTATTATTATTATTGATTTTATTGGATTTAAATTTGTACGACCACTGATAATATATAATCAAACTAGTTGTAAACCCTACGCATGGAATATATTTTGCTGATGTTAGTTTTTATCACTATTCGTTCTCAATGATGACTGGGTTTCCGAAAACCATCAAACTGTTTCTTCTCTAAGCCACCATCACGACATAAAATGACCTGTCAATTCCAATTTCCTGGTTGCTATTTGTCTTTTATTGAGTTGAATTGCCGTTAGAGGGTCTTCTAGCCTTGCACTGCACATCGATCGTTGTTCAGAAATTGGTGGACGTAGTTTTAAAGAATTCCCGAATTGCTAAATCAACGCTATTTCTTTACCGACAAAAGTACCATTTTACCTTCTTCTCTGACAGGAAAAAGCCTTGCTACGTTATCTGTTGGGCGAGGGACATTATCTACGATTATTTTTCATTGTAGTTCGATCTATTTCAGTTTCGAACCAAGGACATTGCCGTTATTTTTTTTTCGGGCAGATATAAACTTTGTTGCATTTGTTTGTTATCATTGTTATTATTACTACCATCATCATTATTGACACTGTTATTATTATTCAATTAATATCATTATTAATATCATCATCATCGTCGTCATTAATAATAGTGTTATTATTAGTACTATCATTAATATTTTCATCATTATCAGTCTCAGCATCATTATTATTACTGTTAACGTCATTGCTTCTTATTCGTATTCTTGTTTTTGTTATTAGTAGTATTAATTTCTATTATTATTGTTATCATCACCATCATAATTGTTGTTAATATCATTATTATTATTACCATTATTATTATCATTGTTTTTGTTGTTGTTGTTATGATTACCATCAATATCCTCAATGTTATTATCATTACCATTATTAGCATATTCTTGTCATTATTGTTATCATCATCAGTGTTATCATATTATCAAACCCTGAAGTGTGTGTGTGTGTGTTTGTGTGGGTGTGTGCGTGCGTGTGTGCGTTCTTGCTTGCGTGTGCGAGTGCGCGGGCGGGCATGTGGGCGGGCTGGCGTGCATGTGTGAGTGCACGTGTGTGCGTACATGAGGGCGTGTGAATCTGCACCCATCTCCCATGCAACAGATGGCGCCACATCCCAGTCAGAGTTTCCTCTTCAGTGTCAAGAGCTGCGAAGTGTTATCACGCCCTTCCTCCCTCTCCTCCCAACACGGATAAGACAGATAACCAAACCAAAACAAGAACAGACAGGCAAACACCACAGAACGAGAGACCTCACACAAACCCCAAACAACAAGCCCCAAAACCCCCAATTCAACCCTTAAAAGAGAATGGAACCCCAATCGAAGAGGCGAAAGAGACCCAGCTTCAGCGACGAGGAACTCCGCGTCCTAATCCAAGAGGTTTTCAAGAGGAAGAAAATCCTCTTGGGGAAATTCGACGCTATTGCAGTCACCGTGCAGAGCAAGGTCGAGGCCTGGGATGCTGTGACAGAGGCCATTAATGGGGTGAGCTGTGTCATGAGGGAGAGGGAGGAAGTGAGGAGGAAGTTCGCCCACCACAGATGGTTTGTGAAGAAGAAGGCCAAAGCGAGGGAGAGGAGAGGTGAGAGAGAGAGGATAAAGGGGGAGAGAGAGAGAGAGAGGATAAAGGGGGAGGAGAGAAGGAGAGAGGAGAGAGAGAGAGGATAAAGGGGGGAGAGGAGAGAGAGAGAGGATGGGGAGAGAGAGAGAGAGGATAAAGGGGGAAGAGGAGAGAGAGAGAGAGGATAAAGGGGGAAAGGAGAGAGAGAAAGAGGATTAAAGGGGGATAGAGGAGAAGAGGAGAGAGAGAGGAGGGGAAGAGGAGAGAGAGAGAAAAGGGGGAAGAGGAGAGGTAGAGAGAGATAAAGGGGGAAGAGGAGAGGTGAGAGAGAGGGAAGTGAATGGGGGAGAGGAGAGGTGAGAAGTCACAGAAAGAGGGATAAAGGGGGAATGTGGAAGAGGAGAGTGGAGAGAAGGTGAGAGTGAGTGGGTAGAGGGGGAATAGGAATGAAGGAGAAGAGTGGTGAGAGAGGGATAAAGAGGGAAAGAGTGAGAGAGGTAAAGGGGGTATGTGAGAGGGAGAATTGAATAAGAGGTAGAGGAGAAGAATGGGAGAATGAGTGAGGGAGAGGAGAGGTGAGAGAAGGATAAAGGGGTAAAGAGTAAGAGGGGGATAAAAAGGGAATTAAAAAAAAAAAAGGAAAATGAATAAATGGATATGTGAGTAAAAAAGGAAAATTACATGGATATGATATAGATGATAATAAAATAATGACATCTTAAGCAAAGCCATTAGTGACAATATGGATTTCCCTATTTTTTCCTAAATTTTATCCCGTCAGATGATTCATTTGTAAAAGATAAAAGCAAAAAACTCCTACTCTTATATCTCATATATTCTTAAACAATAAAATTCCATTACCAACCCATTTTTTTTTTCTACTCCGTCAAAAGGGGGCAAGGCAAGCGACTCAGAGGAGGCAATGTTGTCGATGATAAGTGAGTCGGTAAACAACAGTCTTACCAATGTTTGTGAGTCTGGAAGTCCTTTGAAGTCCGTGTGTGAAGGTAATTTTAATATTTAGATTTTGGAGAAACTGCTTCAATTGTTATATGTTTCTTGACAAATATATTGGCTAAAATTTATGGAAGAATATATTACCTGTTCTTATTTTTGGAATGATAGTAATAATAATGTTGCTAATAATAATGCAAATAATAATGTTAATGATGATATATAGTAATGAAAACATCATCACTATCACCATCACCAATCATCATATTCAGATATTATTATTATTATTGTTTTTGACATATCATTCTATACACTGAAAGATTTGAAATTAAACCAGTGTTTCCCAACCTTTTTCATTCTGTTCAGCAACTGTCATCTTTTCAGATTCAGTTATTACCATTTTTGAATAGTGTAATAGTATCAATAGCTACAGGACAAGAACATTTTATGGAAAATGTCCAATTTATTGAGGTGTGAGGGAGAATTTTATGTCTACCTCATTCCTCCATAAAGCCTTATTAATTTTGTATTATACTTTTGCAAACAGAGAAGAATTGGCAGTCTGGAAATAGCATATTAGTTTTATTTTGTTAAATCTCTTATGCCTATTCTGCTAATGTATGGAAAGAAAATATTTAAAAGGTACCTCCTTATACAACAATGTTTAATTGGCCTAGGATTGTGCTCCATATTGTTAAGGAGAGCACTTAATGCTTCCCTGTCTCAGCTTTACAATATTTATGTTTTCTTCTTTGATTTCATAGGGATGGTAATAATTGTAGTAATAATGATAATGATGATAAGGAGTGGTAAAGATATTGACAATGATGGTAGTTTATTGATATCTGTCTATCTGTATATCTGTATCTATATTAAATATAGTGATATCTATATGTATATCCATATACATTATATGTATTCATCCATTCATTCATTCATTAACTCATTTACATCCATAATCAAAATAGCCACATTGAAAACGACTACTTTATGTTGAACCCATTCAACTTCTTACCCCCTCAGCAGACAGTAGTGAAGCGGTAAACTTGACTCCCTTGAGATCAGACACAGAAGACCAAAGTCCAGGGAAAAACAAGTCCTTCTGCAGCTCCAGTACAGACCTTTCCTTAAGAGGACTTAGGAACTTTCGGATGAATAGGAGAGAAGCAGATAGCGTTCAGAGTGAGTATTTTGCACAGATTTTGAATAGGTTTTTTGTATAATTAAATTTTGGGATTGGCAATAACTAATTAAATTAGGGTGAAGAAATGTTGTAAATCTTTATATTTCGCTTCTCAGATCTTTATGCTGACACGGATGGGACCCCATTAAGAAAAGAAAATGGAGAGGGAAATTCAGCTGAGACTGATACTAGTGACAATGTCAAGAGCAAAAGCATGATGGAAGGCCTACGACATTTCCGAATAGATAAGGAGGAAATTAGCAAAGATCAGAGTGAGTATTGTGATCATGTGTGTGTGTGGGGGTGGGGGGGGCGTGCTCACATGTGTGTGTATGCACGTATGTGTGTGTGTGTATGTGTTGGTTTGGTTTGTGTCTGTTTTTTCCGTTTGAGCATTATTGAATTTGTGTATAGTATTACAAATATTAATCCAAATATCTATCGGCAGATTCATGCTCACATTTATGCCCCAACATCTATAGTTAAGAAATTACATTCACAGCCCAGTTACTGCGGTATTTTAGGAAGGAAATGAAGTTCAGTGGAAATCCAAGATTAGCCAAGAAGGACAGCCACTCAAATTCAGAAAGTAAGAAAAAAGTTACACTATATGTGCATCTGGGTTGGAATTTTTATTTACATCAATATAAATGTGTTGAATGTATGTCTGTTATAGGTGTATTTATTGCCTGTTTTATATAGCCTCAAGAAATAACCATTGAAATTTACTTTGATAAGAAAATTATTCAAATGTCTAAAAAAAAAAATACATGCAGAAATTTGAAGTAGACAGTAAGTAGTGAGAATATCATAACCCCAAAATGACATATTTTTAATGTGTGTCACAGGGTCTGTTTTGTTATTTTGTCTTTATTATTATATGTGGTTTTGTCTTGTATTTGCTGTAATAAATTAAAAACAATAGACCTTACCGTTATACAAAAGTTTAGAAACAAAATAATGTTGCATTTCTTGAAACACATCTGCAAAAATACCCACATACATGGGAATGAATATAAATACAGTGTGTATAGATGTACAGATCTAGGTATACTGTAGATACAAACAGAATTGTATGTAAGAACACATATACAAATACAATTACATATTCATATATATATATAGACTTAATAGACAGAAAGAGAGATAGGTAGATATAGTTTTTTTATAATTCTCAAAGCCTAGTCATAATAAATTTTGTGTCATCCATTCCAGAACTGAAAATTTGGAGCCACGAGGGAGTGCTCCAACTAGTAGAAGCATACAGGTCGCATATGCACATGTTCAGTATGACCTCTTTGAACAGCAGTCAGATATGGTGCAAAATTGCAAAGGAATTGCAGGAGAATGGCTACACATACACAGGAGAATTATGCAAAAGGAAGATGCAGAATTTAAGTACTAGGTAACTTTGATGAAAACTATGCTGATAAAAATAATGGTAGAGCAATAGAAATGTCACTGAAGTAATTAATGTAACACTTTTTTTTTTACTGTGTTGCAATATAATGTGGGTATTATAAAATCCACCTTTATATTTTAGCTACAAATCCATTACAGATAAACCTTAAAAGTGAAAAATACTTCATACAAAAAAGGAGAAGGCACTTGATAATTATCAGTTTTATTTTATCACTTTTTTAAGTATCACCTTTTGTTTTTAACCCATTTTATGATTTCCACTTATTTTACCACATTTGGATTTTACCACTTTTAGAATTACCACTTTTCTATTTAACCACATTCATAATTAGCACTTGTGTTTTTTAGGTACAAATCCATCACAGAAAACCAGGAGAATGGTAGGGGAAGGATCAGATGGAGTAAATGGGAGTATTTTGACACTATGCAGGATCTCTTTGCCGGCAACCCAAGTGGAGACACCTCATTGGTGACCTCCTTGGACATTTCACTACCCACTGGTAAGTTTGATGTCCATTTGTAGTTGATATTTAGTTATTGTGTCAACTTTCTTGAAGTCAAAATAATGTGGATTGAACCAGTAAAAAGTGTTTTTTCTTTCTTTCCTTCTTACTCTCTTTTTTATGGTTATTATTTGTGTAATAAACATTTTTTACTTACTCTACGTTAGTCATACCTCTCTCTCTCTCTCTCTCTCTCTCTCTCTCTCTCTCTTTCTCTCTCTCTCTCTCTCTCTCTCTCTCTCTCTCTCTCTCTCTCTCTCTCTCTCTCTCTCTCTCTCTCTCTCTCTCTCTCTCTCTCTCTCTCTCTCTCTCTCTCTCTCTCTCTCTCTCTCTCTCTCTCTCTCTCTCTCTCTCTCTCTCTCTCTCTCTCTCTCTCTCTCTCTCTCTCTCTCTCTCTCTCTCTCTCTCTCTCTCTCTCTCTCTCTCCTCTCTCTCTCTCTCTCCTCTCCTCCCTCTCCTCTCACCTCCCTCTCTCCCTCTCTTCTTCTCTTCTCCCTCCTTTCCTCTCCCCCTCTCTCTTCCCTCTCCTCCCTCTCCCTCTCTCCCTCCCTCTCTTCCTCCCTCTCTTCCTCCCTCTCTTCCTCCCTCTCTTCCTCCCTCTCTTCCTCCCTCTCTTCCTCTCTCTCCCTCTCACCCTCTCTCCTTCCCACTGCACAAGTGATTGTTATTTTTTCTAGCTTTTCTTCACCTGCAATTCCATAACTCTCATAATTCTAAAAAAGAAGATTTCAACTCTTATTTAAGACCCTGATGATGATCCCTTACAAGTGGATGAAGTCAAGACAGAGCAAGACCACCTTTCACCAGAATACACTGACGACTCATTACAGTGGAGTGGGGTCAAGACAGAATTTGGTCTCTCATCATCCGAGCTTGACAGCAAATCTTTCTCATGGGATGAAGTCAAAGCGGAGGAGAGCTCGCTTTTCTCAGAGCCTGTTGAGGATTTACTCCCCTGGAGCGGTGTCAAGGCTGAACTTTGCTCTTCATCTTATACAGTACATTAATCAAAATGAAATATTAATAGGATAATCAAAATGAAATATTAATAGGATAACACAAATAGTACATGAATTTTTCTGTTACAACAATAAAAGATATTTATTTTTAATAATATACTTTACAGATTATTTAGAAGATGTATAATTAACCTTTGTGACAGGACTTACTTCACTTAATTCATTCTTCTTTAAGATTACATTTATTAAAATATGTATTTTGGATATACTTTCAAAAATGTACATGATGTGGGATTATCAACTCCATTCTTTAAGAAATAATAATAAACATGATAATATTTGATATATAAAAAAAGAGAAATAGTGTTTAAAATGAAATGTATATGCATAATCCAAGCTTTACAAACATGTTTCTTAATGCTTGAGAACTTTTGCGGACGGGCATTTTCCCCTGTATATTTTGTCTTACAAGCATAGTCAATAATGGTAAACAAAGACCAAAACTGTTCATAAGTGAGAAATTGGGGTAAAAATATAAAATGAAAATGTGTTTACCATTTATTTTTTTTATTATTTTTACACACTTGTTCCAGAAATATGTGGGTCCACTAGAGATATCACGTGTCGTATCCACTATCTGAGGTCAGGTAAGAAAATACCTTCATCAGTACAGAGGCCTGTCAGCAAGTGATTGAGGAAGAAGATAACCAATAATATATACAGATCAATGTTAATCACATACAAATTATTATTAATAAAATTGATACGCATTTTACAAAAGTGCCAGCAATACTCAATTCAGTACTTTTTAAAACTAATCTGATATTTGTAAGCACAATGAAGCATGTATTATTTTCCCTTATAAAAGGATATACAATAAAATATAAATAAAATACTAAAAACATGACTGGATTCTCAACAGGTGAATAGTGTTCATTCTGCCTGGATTCATGCAGATTTTGAGTACTAAATATACTTAAAAATGGATACGAGGTCTATTATGGATTTCCCTCAAATGGTATCTAATACAATGTTAGGGGCCAGTTAAATTTAAAGATAAAGTACTCAGTACCTTTTATATATTCTCATTGGAACCATCAGCAACTTTAGCTGGATATTTATCACACTTCCAAGTATCTTTCTCTTCCTGTTGCATGTAGTCTCAGATTCTTTAAGGGTTGTGATGAAAGTATTACATGACAGTCAATAAAAGTTTAGACAATTGACAACTGACTTCAGATCTTCACTTACATAGGTAAAACCTTATACATTCATAAATACTAATAACAGTGACACACCTATTTGTACTACTGTATTATCTCAGACCATTTAGTTTATGAGCATTTATTTTAAAATCTAAAGCCCTATAATTATTCAATCCTATGTTAAAGAGAAATTTCATGTCTAAGTAAAATAAAACACCAGAGCTATGTACGCTGTTATTAAAGAAAACTAATTTTTCAAAAAAATATATTTTTTTTTAAGTCATAAAGAGACTAACCTCTGCTTCTAACTTGGTTTATGACAAGTTGTTGATCACGACCATTCCTTGTACTACCCAAATGATTATCAGAGGCTAATTCTTCCCCATTACATATCTGACTTGCTGAACATCATATCTATACTCGGGTGTTGAATGTAAAGAAGCTTAGATGGAACACTGAGTCTTTAAAGGGTTTCTCTCTCCTCTTAACCATTTTTGCACTGGGTGTTGATTGCTTTGGACACGGAATGGTTTTTGTCTCTCTTCTCTCTTTGAAGATTTGGATTCTCGTTGTGACAAGGTTGTCTTGTGTTCCAGGATCTGTTGTCAGCAAGTAAAAGCTGATTTTTTTTTTGTAAACTTACCTAGTTAATGATTCAATTGATGAAAACAGATTTCAAATAAACGAGGTCTATAATTAATCATTAAAGACTTTTCAAAGCAAAACTAAAGAGTGCATGCAGTGGACACTACTCTAAAATCTGTCAAAAAATATATATCTTTGGGTGTGAAAAAAAAATCAAGTGCAATCTTAGTTCTGAGAAGAAGTCCATACTGTGTTTATGAGTTGTATAAATTTCTTAACTGGTGAACTCTTACTCATAAGAACTCTATCTTCTTAGTATATTATACAAGATATTTAATAATATAACTTAATTTTGAAAAGAGAAATAAATAGGTAAGCATGATTTACAAAAGTTCCAATATGTATTTTTTCACACCATTTTTATTTGGTACATCTGCTTCAGTCTCAAAGTTCCAATAGAACTTAATTTTGAAAAGAGAAATAAATAGGTAAGCATGATTTACAAAAGTTCCAATATGTATTTTTTCACACCATTTTTATTTGTACGCACAACTAAACAACAAACATCAGTTTAGTGCAAATCTATAATCTAAATACAATATGTGATACAATAAAACAGAAACAACAGATAAAAATATAACCAATATGACAACCAATACTTTTCATCTTTTCATTTGGTACTACCTTCTTCAGTCTCCTTACATGGTGTCATTTGCCTGAGGCATCTCTGTTGGCAGATCACTCTAAAATAGCCTCTTCTGTAGCTCTTAAAGAGTCTGTCTCTGCAATACTGTCATCTTCCAAGAGAAAAAAATCTGTTTTGAAAATCTTGCCTGTGCATATCAAACTATACAGTCTGGGAAAAGTATAAGAGTCATAGCTGACCATAATCTAACTTAGCTGATCCATATCTAAGCTTTATGTAATCTAGAAAGAAATTAACTCTCATCTTGCAAGGCTTAGATTTTCAGTAACTTTCTTCTTTCTATTTAACTGTTATATCTTATATCTTAAAGGATGTGCTTGAGATATTAACAAGTAACACTCACATTGGGATGGCATCCCGGCACAACACATTAGGCCTCAGTGTATGTGTCCAGGTTGGGCAGGATGATGAAACATGCAACCAACAAATCTCAACCTTGTATGTTTCATGACCATGGACAAGTTTGTGTGCATCTGGTATTGGTGTTACTGCAGGTGAAATTAAATGTTATAGTATTTTGATACACAATACTTGACTAGGATGAAATAGATGTTCTGGATGGCTGGTTGAAATGTAATGTAATATATTAAGTATTTGTTATCTATAATGCATATGTCCATAATTTACATTAAAAATGTATATAGTAGCAAAAATATGTAAAAAGACCTTTATATTCATTCAATCAAATTTTAGGGATTCCCCACTTTCATCATTCTTCAGTAATACCAATTTTGATGTGCATTACTAAAAATTTGCTATAAATTTTCAGATATTTCCATAAGTTCTTCATGACTTTTAACTTTGGCCTGTTGTAAATCACAATTTCTTTCTCTCATGAAACATATTTGAAAGTGATTTATATACATTTTATGAGTACTAAATAATATTAATCGCATTTCACCTACGATGTAAAGCACTCCACTTCTCGACCAGTCTTTTCTCTTGATACAGTCGAGACAAGACCTCTTCCTAACTTTGTCCGCCTTCATGCCAGCACTACTGACAATACTAACTGTGTCTGGCAACTTCTGCCATCCTCTGCCACTAGTTGTCATTGGCTTAAATCGCCACGAAGTATTTCCTCAAAGGGATGCTCTTCCTTATCTCCGCCGCCTACAGGCAGGGCTGTCTCGAAAGCGGCGTAGAAGGGAGGTGTATCGTTTTGAATTTGCCGACGAAAGGGCGAGGTCATTAAAATTTGTCGTAGATTAAAATAATTGCGGTAAATTACTGCTATTCTTTTTACTTGTTTGTAACTTGCTTTGCGTATAATCGAAGATTATTCGAATTTCTATGAATTTTCCGACATATATAGGTTTCTGCTTCATTTGCTGACAGAAACTTTATTCAGGAGGGTGTTATACCCCCACACACTCCTTCAGCGACAGCCCTGTCTTCAGGAATACTTCGATCTCCTCCCATTATACCAATTCCCGTGGCGTTTCCTCCTTCTCGACTTGAGTGCTGAGCAGGTGGAATTCTTGAGAAAATATGTGATTGTATAATTGTGATCTGAGTGTATATTATCAACAGTTTGTTTTATCAGCCTATATCATTTTGTACTTACTGGCGCGTTTGCTACTGTGTTAAAAGTAGTTGGTAGTGATAAGGATTGCTATAATAAATAAGCTCAAACTCGTCTTATTGAATGCTTATGTAATGATCAAATTCTTTTGTAAACTTATTTCATAATCATTGGAAATACATATATTTACGAGCAGTTTTCAAGTGCCATCCTCCAAAGTTCATCAAAAATGTTTTACCTTTCCATCAAGAGGAAAATGGATATGAACACGATCCAGAATTTTGAAATGCACTTATTTTAGGGTTCTTCACTCAATGGTTTTAGCACACACACACACACACACACACACACACACACACACACACACACACACACACACACACACACACACACACACACACACACACACACACACACACACACAGAGGAGAAGCTAGAGGAAACGTTCCAATGTTGATTTGCCATTAGTTTTTTTAACCAAATTTGAATACGAAAATTTGGAATATCTCGGTTCTTAGAGGGGAAAATTATTAATTTAGGTGAAAAAAGGAAAAAGTTCGATAAGAACCATGTGAATTCGCTTAAAAGTTTGTTCTGTTGAGTACACGTAATTTCGTCCCATAAGAATATAAAGATAACGTAAATTTGATATGCAATTAGCAATAGAAAAATATCTTTCATTGTCGGTCTACACTACCCCCCCCCCCCAAAAAAAAAAAAAAAAAAAAAAAAAAAAAAAAAGTAAGCAGTGCATAAGGAGAGACACGCGTGTACTGTACACGTCTAATCTCTCACAGCATTGAAATTGAAGTTCGCCAAGGCCAGCTCCAGCAGGAAGTTTTTCTACCCTACCAACATCACTGCCAGAACTGGTCGTTTCGTCTTCCACATCTAAACGGGAATCAAACAAGCAGGTTCCCTTCACTAATTTTTGGAGGTTTAGTCTTGTCAACATCTACAGGCATTCTTAGACCAAGCGGGCGCCAATTTTATCACTAAACCTCCAGTATCCATCGACCCAAAGATAATGAGTGAATGAATGAAACTATGAGAATGAGGAATTTCAAAATAGAAGGCTGTTTACCTGTATTTT